CGAATGCAATGCAGCCCTTCACAATTCTTTCTCTTTCTACATGATTGACAGTGCGCCTGTGTTTCTACGATGCGATGGATGCTATGCGAAGCTACGTAGACGTTAATATTGACTGTCAGAACGTACCTTAGACTGCGTCATGCCTCCACAAAGCTACGGGGACTGGACACCCGTCATGCAAGGGACAGCACGACAGCCCATGGACCCAGGGCTAGCATCGCACCTGCAGCCGAAAGAGGGTGACAGTCGACGTCAACACAAGCGTAGCGTCAGGGGAGTGTGGAGCCTCTTGTCTGAGCTACAGATTGGCGAGATCGATCGTGCATGAGATATCGGATTCTGTGCGATGTCGATGACGCTGGAGGCTGGAAGTTTGTTTTGAGATGGCTGGTCGACGTTAGGTGGGAGCATTGACGCGAAACGCGACATCGCGACGTCACGACATCACGTTGGCCCGGAAGCGACTTAGCCTGCGTTAGGGGTAGGGATACGAGCAATTGAGCAACCACATCATCGCATTTGAGATGCACATGCATTCTCTCTTAGCGATAACTGGGGCGCTGATATTACGGACACGCGCAGTCGTCCTCTAGGTATGCCAAGGGTGAATATACGCAGAACCCTAGCCTATTACAGGATAATCCATCGTCGCAACTGAGACGTAGCATTCCCAAGGCGTTACATTGCAATCCACAGAGATTATGATTTTCAAAGCGTAACCATGAGTTTGTCCCTATCCAAATAATACATAGCAGAATAACTACGCCAAAGATGCACACCGTTTCTCAGATAATACAGCGACGATCATTCTACGCACTGGCGCCGGCATCGACCGCAGTTCCGCTCTCGCTCGTGTCCTTCTTCGCCTCCTCGGTCTTCTTCGCGGCAGCCATCTGCCATGCTGGGATAGCAGCGCGTCCCGGCGAGGGCCTACCGTACGCAGGGAGCGGCTTCTCGGTGGCAGGGCTGGGAGTGGGCGCGGGCGTTGCGCTACCATTTGTCTGGGTCTCGGTAGCGCTCGTGCCGTTGGTCTGCTCACTGGGCGCAGGAGTAGACGACGGCTGTGGTGTCGATGCCGAAGCAGCGGGTGTGCCGTTTGTGTTGGATGTCTGAGACTGCGACTGCGCTTGTCCGTAGTAGCCCGAGGTGCTCTGTGGGCGTGGTGGTGCCGGAGAGCTCATCCTGTTGCCAATCAACGTCTTCAGGCTCTTCAGCTCAGTTGACAGCTCCTGCAGCCTCTTGTCGGTGGACTCCTTCTGTGAGTCCAATGCCTTGGGAATCAAGTCCCTCAAGCCGCGGACGTCATCCTCGATACGTCTGTTGTCGTCTCCCTGTCTCTTCGACGACTCCTTGAGGCTCGTCAGAACACTCTCCACCTCACCAAGCGCGTCATCCAGTCTTGTTGTCCGTGCCTCTTCCGATGCCTTGAGAGCGGTTGTGTCGGTGTTGAGTTGCTCGAGGAGATCGAACGCGCGCTTGAAGGATTCGTCGACTGAAGCCTTGTCTTGCTCCAGCTGAGGTTGCGTAGGTGGTTGTATCAGGGGTAGGACGTATCGTTTCGCTGTGAAGTAGAGGCCGTACCCTACACCGCCCATGACCGTCGCCATGATGAAGTAGTCGCGCCAGTCGCGTTTCGGCGGTCTGTATCTGTCAGCATCGGAGCCGGATGTAGATGATCTCTATGCTTACTCCGGAGGCGGCGGAGGCGGTTGCCAGTATTGTTGGGGCGGATAGCTCCCATACGGGGCTGCCGGTGGTGGTCTGTACGCATTGCTGGCTACTGCGGATGTCTGGGGTGGAGGCGATGAAGCATAACTCGGGTCTTCGGCTGCACGCGCGAGCGAGACATCGACTTCTTCTTGTGTGAGGTTCTTGGATTGGAGAAAGGCGATGCGCTTCTCAAGGGGCGCGCTGGCAACGGACGGGTCCTGGAGGACTGGCGGCTGTTAGTGTCGTCGCGTAGAACGTGTCGTGCGTCAACCTACAAGACACCGCCGACTGTATTATATCCTCGCGGACCATATTGACTGCACGATACGCAATGCCAGTAGCACGCGCAGGTTGAAGTTGGTGATGGAACTGGAGAGTCGCGAAATGACGATCCGAAAGCTGGAGGCGGGTATGCCTCGGCTCCTTTAGATCGGCGGTCGGTTCCGCCTCGTCTCACGTGGCACGCCGACCGCAACTCTTTGCCAACTTCGACTCTGCGATGCGAGACGTCCCAACTCCAGATTATGACTTTCCATCGCAACATGCCCTGGTCTATGGTTATGAATACGGGCGATGCTGGTCATCTACACTACATCGGCAGTATGTCCACGGGAGAACGGTCAGCCTCCACCGACAAACACGGTACTGCGATGACGCATCAGACGCTGTGGCCAAATCAGCAGAGTCTGTACACTAACTTATGCCACTGCTCCATATTTCGATCACTGTATTATCCCTTACTTCTTCTCCTTGGAAACTTGAATTACTTCGCCCGCCGCGGAGCATCTGCAATACTTGGACTCAGCAGGTAGGGCAGAACAAACATAGTGTCAGTGAAAAAAGAGCGTGGATACATGGTGCTCATCCCATGTTCTGTCAATACCTCGACGTAATGTGCCCTGAAGGACATGGCAGACAACACGAGAAAAAGAGCAGATTATCACGCAAGCTACCGAGAACCATGGTTGCGATACACTCAAGCCAAGGCTGACATTCGACATGCGACAGCATGCAAGCTGCCCGAGCTTCAGAATATCGTTACACACTTTGGGAGTGTGTACTTCGACTTTCGGTATTTTTAATCGTCGCACTGTGTCAGAGCGATTTCTTTGTAGTTTTGCCAGCTTTCATGATCACCGTTTGGTCACGTCTATCAATCGCTTTGTACTCGGATGGCCCACATAAGGCGACTGCTCTGTGCCCGGCCAGTTAGAATACTGCACGCTTCCTCATATGAACACCCGCTCATTGGTTGTTCAGGGGCACTATGAGCGCGCGGTATTTGGTCGGTTCGAGAGTGAAGGTGTGTACTGTGCGGAGCTCAGACTTTCTTGCGGTGTAATCACGACCTTCACCTCATTGTGAATGCAGTCCAAGACAAACGCAGATTTCCGCCTCTCCACCAATCTCACACTGCTCAATTTCTCGTTCTACCTCCTCGAAACTCTCGCATGTCTATAGCGATTGCAGCCACCGTCTAACTCAGCGATACCATGGACCGAACGAACATTATCGACGACAATGAAGTCGCGCGCGCCATGACTTTGGCTACGCCGAGGAAAGGCAAAGGAAAGGGTAAGAAAAAAGCTCCTGAATCCCACGCGAGCAGTCCTCCAAAGCAGAAGAGTACTGCGAGGGCAAGGGCAAAAAGTGCGACCCCAGCTACACCTTCCACCCCGACGCGGGCTTCTGGGGCTAGGTTCTACGAGGCGAACGGCTTGAAAATCCCGTTGTACAATAAAGACGGCTTAGGCAACAAAAAGAGGCAGTATGCTCGCCTATCCAAGGGTCTGCTCAAGTACAGCGTGGACGACTTACTTGACATTGTAGAGCAGTATGCAGGCGCGGAGAAGAGGCAAGAGCTGAAGGACGAGGGACTAGCGAAATCAAGGCTCGCGAACTGGATCGAAGAGAAGGAGACACTTGCTCTTGGACGCAATCCGAAGTCGACATTATCTAGTAGGTTTCTTTCCCATCGTATTGAATGCGCGCAGGTATACTGACAGTCTAAGTCGCAGATGAAGAAGAAGAAGCCGATGATACTGATGACGCCGTCTCCTTCCTGGCCCCCACCACCCCGACATCTTCCAGTGTGAGAACACCAATACATGCGAATACACCCTCTACACCCGTCAACAAAAAACATGACTCGCCAATTACAATCAAAGACAGTAGTACCTCCCGTCAATCTAGTCACCGGAAGAGGAGCGCACCTGATGAGCCACCGGACGGTCGGCCACACGCAAAGCTTCAGAAGCGTGACGCACTAACAAACATGGCTGCTACAAATACCGGACATTCGGCTGAGGATGAGTTCACAGGCACCCTATTCGACTACACCATACCAACGCTTTCGCAAACGGAAAGGCAAACATCGCTATATAACGCCAAAGGGTCCCGCCAAGATGCTTTCATGCAGGCCACTGGCATGAATCCTTTGGATCCCGACCGCTCTTCGATAATTATTCGCGGACGTAATGAGGATCGCGTGCTCACAGCGACATCTGGCAAAGGTTATCGCAAGGGCGAGACGTACTTCCATGAGACCACAAGTAAGTAACAGCTTTTCTTTGGATACTCCTGATGCAATGTGGGTCGTTCCATTCGCTGCACACTTCCTTACAGTCATCTGAACACCCCCTGGGATGGTCGAAACATACCATTTCCTCGGCTGTTTACTCCGCTTGCTCCATACAGCACACCTGGCTAACACGCTACCTAGTACCACATCGCGCTACCAAGCACCACCAATCTCCTGCCGTCCCATATCTGAAAGAAGGAAACCACGGACGCAAAGGCGACTTTCAAGCCGATAACGACCGGCGCACGGGCCTGGGCCATCAGTTTGAACCAGACGACTATCTCAAGTGGTCGGAGTTCAAGAACTTCCGCAGCACGCTCTACGAGCAGTTTCCACACTATCCAAAGCCGAACCAGGGGATAACAATCGACCTTGAGACTAAGGATACATGGGATGCATGGCAAATCTGGTACGATGAGTTCACGAAGAAATATCCTGGCTATGCCGTCGCTCACTTGTGGCCTTGTGGCTGCGAGAAGGTGAGAGACGAGGATGAGAGTGAGGAGGAGTAGTGGTGAAAGATATCCCCATCGGCATACGAAAATCATGTCCTACGATCGCAATGTAGGAGCCTGCAGCATGCCAGGGATGTATAGGTCGCGGGTGGTCACGATGTAGATTTTCATTATATCTAGGTATGCTTACAAACTTCACCTCGATGCCTGGACACTTCAGTCACCCAACGCTCACATCTTGTAAATGACTCACAATGCAATATTGGTACAAGACTCCTAGTATCCTACTCACAGTGTCTAGGCTCGAGGTTCACTACATCACTTACTTACCTCTCCCGCGGCGCCTCACCAAGCGAGACACCCACCTCACACATAGGGAAACCCGAACAGGTCTGCAGACTACATCAAGTCAAAAGCGTGCAAAGTGGGTGACACAACGTCAACGTAGACTGCAGGGTGTTCAGTTTTTTCCTTACACCATCATCACCAGACAAGTATACAATGGGTCTGAAGCTCGAAATCCCTCAGCGAGACATCTCCAAAGAGGAAGAGCGCAAGCTCAAGATCCAAAAAGCCGCTGCAAAACGCTGGGTACCCAATCTTCAAAGGCCCCCGCCTCAGCTGAAAGAGATCAACGCTGCCTACAACAATAAGCTTATGAGGCATTACACCGACGGAACTGCAGCACCGTCAAGCGAAATCATCAGACCGCCAATCAACAGATCCGCCCGAGTGGACGCTTTACTGGCAACGCTCCCACTTCAACCGGAACAAAAGCTGCCAAAGCCACTCAGTCAAATACAAGCCGAGCACCGCGAAGAAGTCAGAATTGCCACACTTTTGGAGCCAAACAGGAAGATCACCGAAAGTGCGTACGCCAAAAAATTAGCGAAGGAAGCTTTCTCGTCAAATGGAAAACCTCGTGACCGCAAAAATCTCAAGCGCAAGTCGACATTTGTTTCGGATCTCAAGGTCGAGGAGATTCAGAAGTAACGCCAAGGCAAAGACAACAATTCTGCCTGATTGGAGCAAGGCGACAACGGGTCAGTTTGCTGAGTCCACTGGGCAGGGTGGAGTGTGATGAATGAGTCAGGGTGCGGTGATGGGCTCCGAGGCGAGCATATTACGACATTGGGTTGGGGACTGCGGCATTTGTTTTGAGGAGTACGGCGTTTGGGCTCAGTGACTGCGACGATTGCGGCTGGGAAGTATTGCGATTGTTTTAAGGGTTTGGCTTATTGGCGGTGTTAGGGTAGAAAAATGTAGACTAGTCAAGGCAACTATGGTACTTGATTACACATAAGGGTCCACCTTGACATTTGTGACCAGTGATAAAAATCGTGTATGACAGATAGGCGCAGTGTCCGTGCGACGCATCTATAGTACCAGATATTGTTGTACGTGAGTTTCCACTTCGAGGTTCTCGGCCAGTGATGTAGGATGTATATGGCAATAAATGTAATATCTCAGCAATGCAACTATGGTACTGCTATGACTAGATCTGCTTACCATGTGCGCACTTTGGTTTCCATGCGCGCTCACATATTTTATACCGAGCTAGCAGTATAAATAAATCATGTCCATGTCCACTTCCAAAGACCATACCATCACACCAAACCTCCGCAACAAAATTCCGCAAAGAAAGTTGAATCCCAACTAAACCATCTAACACCAACACAAAACCGTAAAATCAAGCATCATGAAGCATTTCCTCTCACCCGACCGCATGGTCGCAAATTCGCCTGCTCAAATGGGCGAGGAAGCATCACCACCCACCACACCATCAGCCGCGAAGCCCAAACCTAAATGCCGGCTAATCATCCACCCCCCCAAAACACCATCGCCAAAGAAGCCCAAGCGTGGATGCCGTCTCACCATCCACCCACCCACGCAAAACCATGCCAAAACCCAATACCTCCCAACACCCCAATCACTCCCACAGCCGCCGCCAAACACCAGCGCCGCGCAGAAGAAGAAGAAGCCCTTCTTCCAACATTTCAGAACGCGAGCACAACTCCGCACCCCCGCCAATAAAACCTACTATTTCCCCAGCGCGCAGAAAGCCAGAAATAACATGCGCAACTCCCACTTTTTGGAGTTGGTGAAACTGGGTGTCACGCCGCTCATCCACAAGTGTGAAGACATGGGTGATTTGGGACTCAGTGGCGTGGAGATGGAGGATGAAGAGAGAGGGGAGAGGGGCGAGCTGGAGTTTGGGACTGGGTTGAAGGCGGAGATGGAAGAGGATGAGGTGAAGAGGGGGAAGATGGCTTGGTTGAAGGAGAAGTTGTGGGGGAAGGGGACTTGGGCTGTTTGTACTGGAAGGGAAGAGGAGGAGGAGATGGAGCGTGAGCTTATGTGTTTGGCGAGAGCGGCGGTGCCGCTGATGGGTGCGCACGATGAGGATGAGATGGAGATTAACGGTGGACCTTCGATGAAGACAGGGATCCCAAATATGGGTGATCATATGGGTGACTTCTCGGAGGATGATGTTCGATGGTTAGTAGGGTAGGGGGTGTGAGCTTATGGGATTTAGTGGAGAGCACCTTCAGGCTATGTCATGGGCGCGACGGGTTGCAGGGCATGACTTAGGAACACGGGTATGCGATAGTGTGCGATAGTGTCTGCGATTTCATATTCTTTCTTCTAGTAATCATAAAATCCTTTACCACTCTTCTTTCCTAGCCAGCCTGCATCGACCATCTTCTTGAGCAGCACTGCGGGCCTGTACTTGGAATCACCCGTGTCGTGGTACAAAACCTGCATGATCGCCAGGCAAGTGTCAATGCCGATGAAGTCTGCTAGTTGCAGTGGGCCCATGGGTACATTCGTTCCGTTCTTCATGATGCTGTCAATGTCCTCCTTGGCACCTACACCCGTCTCAAGGCAAATGACAGCCTCGTTGATGTACGGCATGAGGATACGGTTTGCGAGGAAACCGGGGCTGTCGGCGGACTTGGACGGTATCTTTCCCATCTTCTCGCAAAAGGCGATTGCGGTTTCGACGGTAGCTTGCGAGGTCTGGAGGCCGGTGATGATCTCGACGCCCTTCTGGATGGGTACTGGGTTCATGAAGTGTGTGCTGATGACGCGCGATGAAGCCGAGAGATCTGTTGGGTCGGTGGTAGTGCTCGCCGCGATCTTGGTAATCGATATGGACGAGGTGTTGGTGGCTAGGATGGCGTGCGATGGGCAGATTTGCGCGAGTTGCGAAAAGATCTTGTGCTTTAGGTCTGGGATCTCTGGTACGGCCTCGATAACGAAGTCGACGTCTGACAGATCGTCCATTGATGTGCTGGAAGTCAATCGCTCTCTTGCCGCTGCGGCGTCATCTTTCGAGATTCTGCCCTTTCCGACATCCTTTTCGAGGAGCTTGTCCGCAAACTTCAGACCTTTGTCGATTGATGCTTGGGAGTTGTCAATCAACCGGACCGGTACTGAGGCCCTCTGTGCTGCTACGAGAGCTATTCCGAGGCCCTGAACATGTTAGATTGACAGCTGTAGGGTTGGTGCATTGATCCGTACCATCTGGCCTGCTCCAATAACACCAAGCTTCTTGACCTCAGCAGCAGCACCGACAGAGGGAGTTGAGCTGAAGGCACGGCATTGCTGCCGTACAGCGCAACGAGCGACTTGTTTTGAGGCTACGGAAAACATCGTGTGCGATTACTCGAAGGACTGCAAGCAAATTGTGGAAGATGCACGATCAACATGTGATGCAGAATGACATTTCCCAGGCCGATGAGAACCGCGGCGGGCTAGCCGAGGCATGACGTTGCCTGGCGGCGGGAAGGCGCGAGGATCAGCCCTGGCTTGGCGGGTTTGCGCGGTTTGTCCCGCTTGTGGCACTTTACGCGTCGACGCGTCTTTTGGGCCATCGCGACACGGGCGGGCAATCTGAGCATCAACCACGACAATGGCTCAGACAACGCTGGACGATTGGGCGCAGGACACTGTGAACCCAGAAGTTCGCGCTCACGTCTCTAGTCTAATATCTGCTGTATGTATCCCCTTCCACTGTCACAATGGCTACTGACACACAATCAGCTCGGTGGTATTGGCGATGACGGCACGTATGCACTCGGACACGACGCCCTGCTCTGTCTCAAGGACCTACGGAAATGGCTCAAGTTCGCCGACGGGCAGTACAACCGACGCGATGTAGCACGATGCATGGCCGAAGCAAACCTCGTAAAGGGCGACTTGCTTGAGATACTGGCCAAGATATCACCAACTGTCATGGAAAGCACCTGGAAGCACAAGATTGCGGTTGCGACATGTGAGAGCATGCACTTTGACTTTTGAGACTGTACTGACGACCGCAGTGGAACTTCTCGTGCCCTTGACTTGGCCCAACGAGATCGACCCCACCGAAGCGACCGTAAACCACCACCGACATGGGCCTTATATCGGGCTCGCCCAAATTGGCTACAAACGTGCTATTCTGCAATTCGATCGAGACAGAACGCTGCAGACTGCTGTCAAGATCGCGCTCCCTTCTATGGCCGTACCCCTCCGAGAACGCACACCACGAGACGAGGGTATCATCCGAATCGCGCTATACTTCATACGCAACATCGCCATGCTCGCTCCCCCGAACAATGCACACATGGACACCGACGAAGCTGAAGTCTCCCGATCTGCAACGATTGACACCTTCCACGAGCAGGACATATTTCAGGTGATTCTGAGTATAGCGTCTAGTATCGGGGAGGACTTTGTCACCCAGGATGTTGTTATTCTCGAAATCTTGTTCTTCCTCCTCAAGGGCATCGATGCTGAGAAGCTGTTCATGGAAGACAAGAAGCTCAACATTAAGAACACGGACGAGCTCAAGGGCTTGATCCAGAAGGAAAAGGCCATGCTTGCAGGGTACGCTCGCAATGCACCAACCCGGCATAACCGATTCGGAACGATGATCTGGATGAAGCGGGACGACGAGAAAGTCACAACTATATCTGGGCAAGATGTGCTAGGAAAGGCGCAGGCTAGCATGCAGAAGATGGACGATACAAAGAAGTGGAATAAACCCCGCCGTCCCGGAAAGAAGCAAGCCGGCGATGAAGAGAGAGAGGAGTTCGATCTCCCGGTGCCACTGACCTCTTCTGCGCGGAAACATATCAAAGCGTTCGTCGAGGAGTTCCTGGACTCGTCCTTCAACCCTCTATTCCTGCATTTGCGGAAAGCTATCGAGCGCGAAACGGAGCGTGTGGAAACACGACACTCCAGACAATTCTTCTACCTCGTATCATGGTTCCTACGAGCAGAGTGCGCACGGCGGCGAACGATGAAGGAGAGGGCCGCAGACCCTAAGAGTCCTGAAGTTCCGTCTGCTGAGGATGAGAGCTACGGACTAGTAGCCGAAGTCATGAATCAGGAGACCTTCATTCTACTCAACCGCTTCATGCAGAAGAGTCAAGATGAGAAGGCATGGCGAGACCTTAACGCTGGGCTGAAATGCTTCACGCAAATCTTGCTCACCGTGCATGAGATGTCCGAGTCAGGCCTTGAGGAAGACCAAGAGATTGCCGAGAACATCCAAAACCGTATCTTCTATGAAGAGTCAACACACGACCGAATAGTCATGATCCTGAGGTCATACAAAGATCAAGGCTTTGGCTACCTTGATGCAGTTACAGAGCTTTCTCATGTCTTCCTGCGGATGCTCGAGCGCTATGCGAAGCAGAACGTTGACATGCAAATTCGATCGAAACGTCGAGCCCGAAAGATCAAGAAGAAGAAGGCTGAAAAGCAGGGCGAAGATGGAGAGGAAGAGGGCAACGTCTCTGAGACTGAAGACCTCCAACAAGCCCAAAAGACGGTTTCTGAACGCAAGTTCGATTTCATGAAATTCTCGGCAAAGTTCGTGAACCAAAGTAGCGTTAACACGTTCGTTGCCTTTGCCAAGTACTTCAGCGACCTCGATACCGAGCAGCTCAAGCGTGCGCATCGCTTCTTCCATCGCGTCGCTTTCAAGATGGAGCTTGGTGTCTTGCTGTGCAGGGTGGACATCCTGGCGCTTTTCAACAAGATGATGAAAGGTCCAGGCGGTCTTGATCCAGAGTCGCCAGCTTACAGAGAGTGGGATGATTTTGTCAAACACTTCTTCAGGCAGGTTGTAAAGAGAGTACAAGAGAGGCCAGAGCTGGTAGTCGAGATGCTGTTTGACAAGATCCCTGCAACCATCTTCTTCCTTGAGCACGGATATGATCGCGAGATACACACTCGAGCGCCACGAGCTCCGGCAGAGCTTGAGGTCAAACCTGGAATGGAGCTACCCGATCAGATTGGTGTCGCTGTTGGTGTTCTTGTTAATCAGTCAAAGTCGGATGCTCTCCGCTGGGTACGCGATGTGCTTACATCGGCAGCTGAAGAGCGCAAGGCGTGGGAAGAGGCAGCTGAAGCACAAAAGGCGTTGGTGGGTGACGTAGAGGAGCGTCCAGAAGGCGAGGCACCTGAGAATTCAGACCCTGAAACCTCGAAGCCGCCATCGATCTGTAGGTATCCCTCTCGCTTTGAGGAAGTTTGCTAACCGAGCCTAGTCATCAAGTACGATACTGAAGAACGTCGCGTCGCTATGTTCAAAGACAACAAACTACGACTGCTCATGAACCTGGTCGGCTTCGAGAGGTTAGGAGAACACCACGATCCGGACGCTTCATGGATCATACCTGCATCACTTACTTCAACGCAATTGCAAGAAGCCATCGATCTCATTCGCAAGTATGAGTTCGATCCCCCAACATATGAGGACGGCAAAGCGCCAGAAGACTTGCTTCGTAGCAAGGCTGCAGCAGCTCGACGTTCCACTCGTCGGGCCGAGTTTGACGATGACTCTGACGGCATAGACCGCGACGAGGAAGAGGACCACGGAGAGTACGCCAAGGGTGGTCCCACCGAGAGAGATGCAGACGCCCCTCGCAAGACACTGAAGCGACGACGCCGAAGGAATAGTCCTGTGGAGCTTGACGACGAAGAGAAAGACCGCAGAGCCGAGGCACGTCGCAAGAAGGAAATCGAGAAGCAAGCCAAGGCATTGAGTACCATGTATGTGCATGACTCAGACGACGAGGACTGGGACGCTGAGAAAGATGCCGCCTTCTTCGCGCGAGAACAGGCGATCCGCGAGGAAAACATGAAGGTCTTCAAGAAGTCGCTTGTACTTGGAACCGTGGAGCCAATCGCATCTAAGAAGCGCAAAGCCGATGCACCGGCGAAGAAGAGCAAGAGGAGAAAGAGTCCACCGAAACGGAAAGCGCCATTCGCCGATAGTGACGACGATATGGAAGATGCAGAGAGCAGTCAGGCTCCTTCCGTGGTTGATGGCAATGAGGACGACGATGAGGACGAGGAGGAAACTACAGATACGCCGCTTTCATCCCAGAACGCTGGGGCAACAGCAGCACTTAGTGACGCGGATACGCCCAGAAAACCAGCAAGTGATGCTGCGACAAAGAGCACGGATGCTACAATGCCAGACGCAGATTCAGATGACGATGATGACGACGATGCACCGGTAGCGCGTAGACCGGCAGCGGCCCGTAATATGAGGGCTGGCTTTATTGTTGACAGTGACTCGGAGTAATATGTGTGTGTAACAACATTTTCGGCGTGGTCTGGGGGGAAGGGTTGCATAGCATAGCATGGTGTCTTAGGTTTGTGCTTTTCAATGTTTGAATACCCATTGTCTTGTTGTTTCAATATCGTCATGATTTGTTCATCCCGTGGTATCAGTCAGGTGCGGGACAAATTCAGGTTGGTCGAACAGAGGATGCAAACTCCGATGCAGACGTCTGTTGACTAGAGACGCGCGGAGAGTGTCAAGCATATGGGCGGCTCTACGCCAAGAGCCCACACGATTGCAGTTTGGGGGCGTTTGCAGTTGCTCTTTCCTGTCGTTTGGTCACGACTGCATCTTTCCGTTCCATGACGTTGTTCTTAATCCGAGGTGGCTGCTTCGTGCCTTCCTTGTTTACCTCCTCAAGGACAACATCGTCCACAACAACAACATTCCGCGGGTAAGTCTTTCTTCCCCACAAACGCTGCACACCACGCTACAGCCATGCTAACATATTCAGACCGACACAGATTCGAGCAGATTCGCGCGCGGTGGGAGACAGCTCAGCCAAGTGAAGACGGAGCAGCGGCGATGGTGGGCTGGAGAGAAAAGTCGACAACCCACCTCCCGGTAGGTGGCGAGCCTCAGGAAAACAGTAGCAGCAAATTCCGGAGGAAGCTCAGCTATGGCTTCGCTTTCATATCAAATCCCCTCTCGCAGCGAAGGACGACCCCGGGACGTCATCAAGTGAATGTACCGTCATTGGCTGTTACCCAACCATCTGCAACCGACATTACTACAAAAAACCCTACATGCGAAGCTGAGCTTTCACCAATGCGTGTTTCTGCACCATCCAACCACTCCAACGATGCGACCGAAGAGTCCGCAACAGTCCCGTTTGGCAAGACTTTACCCAAGAGCGCAGATACCGATACCACACCGCAGCCGTTACCCCGATCGCGCACGTTGAGCTTCATCCCGCTTCCAGTCAGGGTTGAGCCTCAGTCGTTCGCCGCAGACGTAGAAGGCGCAGTCAAGTCCCATTCTCTCGCGGTGATGCCTCAATCAGAGCCAGATCCGGTACCTTCGAAAATTCCTACTCCGAGTCCGCCATCCCTAGAGCGCCGTCGCTCTAGTCCACGTCAACACGTGCAACAACACGTCTCGTACCGCGCTTCTCAACAGATCAAACACATCGCGACTGCCCACGCGTTGGCGGCCGCTAACAATGGCTCTCCGGTGAAGCATTCCTATCAGGTGCGCTCACGTACGACACCAAATCTCGTCAAAACAGCCAACGGGCTACAGTCGGCGCGATATATGGCTCCCAGGCGGCCAGGACCTAAGATGTCTGTGGTATCACCAGTAGCTCAAAGGCCGCTTCTGCAAGAGAACATACCGACGGACAGACGTATATCACATAGGCGGTCGCAGAGACAAGAGAGGACGCTGAAGAGGGAATCACTTGCAGTGCCTGGTACTCTGAACAGTAGAAGGTCGTTTGGTCCGGGACTACAATATTCACAGAGCAGGGAGCCTAGCTTCGCGACTCCACCCACAGTAAGAAAGAGGATGAGCTCACAGCTTGCACAGCAGACGCCAGTGACAGTAAAGCGGATACAGTCAGAGGAACAAAAAAATACACCAGCAGCATCACCCTCGATATCGAACTCTGCAGCCGCCCCGCCTCACAACACCGACCTTCCAACACCCGCTCCAGAGACGAGCGACAATGTCAGGCCAGCCCTTCCCCGGCTGCCCACGGACAGAGAAAAGCAAAGGAAAACGCTAGGAACACCAAATGGTTTGGGCGGCGTCTGGCGGTCATCCCATGCTTTGGCGATGACCACACATGAGGTGAGCAGACTTCCACGTTCCCAAACCTTCCATAATTTTGGAAGCCACCTGGAAGTCGCTCCACCAGTGCCTCGCATCCCGGAGCAGTACAGGACAGCGTCTTTGTCGGACCTGGTCCAGTCAGTATGCATGAATCCGAAGAGCACTGTCCTGTCTCAACATGTCAGGGTCAGATCAGACGCGAGCTCGTGCGAATCGATACCCGAGGAGACGGACGAAGAAAGACTGAGTGTCACACCAACATATACAACTTGTCAGCCAGGACAAGAGCTTGTGTCGTCAATGAAACTCACCGGATCTAGTTTCAGTCTGGCGGCGTTCCCCCCAGTACCAACCAGAGTCCCGATCAGAGCACCAAACAACGCTGGAAACCTCTGGGCCTATTCTTCCAGCCGTTCGCGGAGTAGACATGGGAAAGAGAGGTCCGACGTTGCTGACAATGAGATCTTGCAGGTTAAAGACTATATGCCGCCGCTTTACTGGGCTGGAAGATTCCAATCTCGATACGATCAATGGCGTACCGATGCAATGAAAGCTGAACTTGACCCTGCCCATCAAACCTCCGGCCTCTTGGGAGAATGCAAATTGAATCAAGACAAGCTGGCGGCATGCTACATACTCGGACAACTGCGCGACCTGTGCACTTCCGACCAAGCAGCAGATAGCCTTTGGGTACGTTCTATCTGCGTCATGACTCTGAATCCGTTTTACTGACTACGCCCAGGAGTTCGAGTACAAATACAGGAGAGAGCACAAACTGCTCGGCAATCCGGCAGATCTTCCGCCGATGTCATTCCGTAAGCACGACGACAACACGACTTCTGCAGGAGCTGGAGCCTTTGGACGGGCCGTAAGGAAGCTGACCCCACGCAAGGCTAGCCTGATCAACCTAATGAAGGGCAAGGGCTGGAACAAATCCGACGACTCGACTGAGCGGAACCAAGAGACGTCCTCGGACGGTTCATAATCCTACCATGAGGTTGTGGAAGGTGGACGGCTACGTTACGATCTGGACGAGAATACGGAAGTTGAAGATGAGGTTACAATCATGTAAAACCTGCAAAGAGTAAAAGATGTTACGAGACAGAACGATGGCAAAAAGAAAGCGCGAGAGTTTGAGATACTGTGCATGGCATGAGAACGTCGAGACATCAACTTTGTGATCTGCACGGGAAGCATGCATTGTTAGATATCCACAAAGAGGTAGTAATGTAATTGTTAGTCGACATTACCGCTTGAGTAGAACCGCAACAGTCATTGACTGAGGTGCTGAACGCTCAGAGCATGACATTTGTACAATTGATGAAACGACACGAGATTTGAAGCTTTCTATGGCTTTCACATGCAAATAATCACGAGTCAGTAGGCTCTTGTTTGCCCGCGGTCTCTAACGGCTTATCCGATAGGCTTGGGCTTAGCAATCCGAGATCGAGACGCTCTTGGAAATTACTTCGAATTGTTGGAAGATCGAACGATGAGGTCTCCCAACAATTCGAAGTGATTTTCAAGAGCGTTTCGTCCCCGGGCCGCTAAGCCCAAGCCTATCGACTAAGCCCAGGACCAGAGGAATGTATTCCTAGTGCTATGATCAGGCTTCATATCATTTTCGCCGTATTTGTGCCTCTACTCCTTCTTCTCCGGCTTAGGTGAAAGCTCCTCAACGATGTTGTTTGGGTCTTTCCACGCCAACGCCACGTACTTGGTATGACTTCCCCGTGCAAAGACCTCTCCCTTGTTGTTGCTGAAGTTGATGGACGTGAAAGCGAGTGTTTTGCCGACTGGATTCATGTAATCAGCAACCGGGTATCTTGAGGAAAGCATGCCAATACAATGGACTCACACTTATCACACGTTACTTCGGCTTTGATCAAGTCGCCGATTTTGCCGCCGGAGGAGAGGTAGGTCACGTTGAGGTCGGTGGATACGCCTGTTGCGAAGAGGCCACGAGATGCTACTGCTAGGGAGCCGCCGAGGTCGACTGGGTGGGGTTGTGAGATACTGGTGGTTGAGTGGGGGTTTTGGGAAGGACGGCTTACCCATGCTGGCTATTGTGCCGCCGTGGAGGATTTTGAGGCGGTTCTACGTTATGTGAGTTTCGAGAACATGGTAGGAGACGATAGGTGGGATAGCACGAACTGTGTGCTCTTTCTGGATATCAAGCTCGAACTTGACGCGTCCTGGGACTGCTGAGGTCACTCGAAGCTAGAACTGATGTTAGTATGACAACTTACCAGAGCTATAAACTCTCATAACCTACACCGTCTAGTAGTCTTTCGTGTCGCTTTTATTAGCTTCGTGTATACATGCTTAGGTATTGGTGGTACCTTGGCTCCAGGCCCGAGTTCGCTCGGAACGACTCCCAGACCTAGCGACACGTTAGTAAATCTATAAGGTTGGTCAATGACATGGTTGGTTAACCCACAGATCTCACAAACTTCAGCGCCGGCATGGTTGATGATCACCCCGCGATGTGCGAAGAGTGATGTCGATGTTCCGCTCGGCAGTTGCCCACGTACCTCGGAAGCTAGACCGGGGTGGAGCGGAATTTGTGGGGTGAGCTTTCCGCTCGCTCGGCGCGTCATCAACTTTCTTTGGCGATTGGCGACCTGCGACTTCCACTTGCGCGACCCACGCGTCGCTACCGCCCAAACTCGTGGACCCTTTCTCTCCGAACATGATAATACGGCGGTAGACCGACATCCTCCTCTCCACATCCCCCACGATGTCGGCTTCATCTTCATCTCAGGCGCTGGAATACCTCGAGGGTCTGCCTGTCGCGACACACCGGCGGCTGTATGAGCAGCCTTCCACCGTGTTGGCGGTGCTCCGCTGCATGCTTCCGCATCTTGGTGAGTGCATTTATTACGTCCGCAATCCTGTCGCTAACGGAGCCACAGCCAAATCCATAGTCTTTGCGATGCTCTACAGACCCTCATCCTTCCCCGTAGCCGACATGGACGCCTGGTTCAAGCCTTCCGCTAGGAAAGAGAAGGAACAGGCTCTCTTTACGCTCGAACGCCTACACATCATTGCCCCTGCTAAACAGGACGACGGTACCTTCTCGTGGACACTCAGCAAAGACTTTCAAGGCAGCCTGCGAAACGCCCTCGAGGGCTCCGGTACCCACCGCTCGTTCGGTGTGCCGGCGACCAGAGAAGAGAGCGGCGGAAAGCGGTTAAGCATCGACTTCCTCGACGAATACTCGCGATCGCAATGGGAGGGTATACTCTATTACTTGGTGAGCGGCGCGGCTGGACTTAGCAGAGACAGCATCGAGAGAGCAGAAGTCGGTCCTGGAACGAAGAAGCTGCTACATACCGGTGACCTTGTGAGGACCGTACATGGAAGTCCAAGGATTACCAAAGACGGCTTCTCCTTCGTGCTGCAAGAGACGAACGCGCAAGTCTGGAGTCTGCTCATCGTCTACCTGAAAATGACCAACGAAGTAAGTATTGAACCCCACGAACCCTGCGACGACTGTCCTCTTCGAGCTCAGCCGACGCCAACGAACACCGAATCTGACATCGACCCCCAGCTCGGCATGTCCGAAACCGAAGTATTATCCTTCCTCTTCATGCTTGGTTCCCTAGAACTAGGCCAAGACTATTCCACATCCACCCTCTCCCCCACCCAATCCCAGATGCTCGAGGACCTCTCCTCCATGGGCCTTGTCTACCGCTCGGACAAGAACGCGCGAACCTTCTACCCCACGCGCCTCGCCACAACCCTGACCTCAGATTCCGGCAGCGCCATGTCCGCCTCCTCCAACGACATCGCCCAAGCCTCCCAAGGCAACGCCGGCCCCTCGGCATCCGCAAACAAGGGCTTCATCATCATCGAAACAAACTATCGCCTCTACGCCTACACAAACAGCCTCATCCAAATCGCCATCTTATCCCTCTTCACCAAGCTCCAACATCGCTTCCCCAACCTCGTCTCCGGCAAACTCACCAAAGAATCCGTCCACAAAGCCGTTCAATCAGGCATCACGTCGAGCCAAATCATCTCCTATCTGACGACCTATGCGCATCCTCAGATGCAAAAGACAATTCCCTACATTCCGCCTACGGTCATGGACCAGATTCGGCTTTGGGAATACGAAGGCGAGCGTGTGGAGACTACGACGGGGTACTTGATGCGCGAGTTCGGCTCCGAATCAGAGTACAGGGATGTGCTGGGGTATGCGGGTGCGCTGGGTGTGCTGGTGTGGCAGAACGACGCGAATCGCTGTTTCTTTGTCAGTCAGGTGGAGCAGATTAGCGCGTATCTTAAGAAGAAGAAGGAGACTAGGGATATTGCTCGGGGACGGTAGATTTAATCCCGGGTCATGAGCTTCATTGCGGATGGCTGAGGTGTATGCATAGAGGGCTTGGATATGCAAGGCTACTCTTGGCTAGTCGCATTGGCGTGGGCGTTTTAAGGACAAGCATTGGCGTTTAGGGGAAACGTTTTTATAAAGTTAGATGATACGGTTCTGGCTGATGGGTGAGATTGGAGATGCTTGGGTCTTCTAATCCTGATGCCCTGTCTGAGTATACACTAGGTGTTCAGTTCCACTAGATGCCGATGGTGTGCCTTCACCGCTTGATTTGTCAAGTGAGGGATATCCGACGAAGTGCTATATCCCTCACTTGACAAATCAAGCGGTGAAGGCACACCGTCTGCATCTAGTGGAACCGGACACCGATTGGACACTCGGACATGGCTACTTATCGCCACTGTTATCCCCAAATGCTCTCTCTCTCTATCTTTCTCACAAGTGACAGCCAAAGCGAATGTGACAAGACCAGACAACAAGCGCAAAGCAGAACTCCTACCCACCTAGTCTATCACAAACTTAGGGGACAGGCATTAGCATTCAGTAAGGAAACGGTTGTATAAACATAGATGAGATGGTTTTGCCTGATAGGTCTTAAGATGGAAGATAGCTAGGTCTTCTAATTTCAATACTATGCCCGAGTATTCACTACACTGCGAGTAGACTGCGTTGAAGCCGATACCTTCGTACGACCCAATCCACTTAGTTGCTTAGGTAGGCAACTACGTGGATTGACTCGTACGATGGTATAGGGTCAATCACCATGAGCTCCGTCCCAGTCTGCTCGAGGTGGACGCTTGTGGCGGTTCTGATGACACAATGATCATTTGAAACATGTGAATGATCAAATGATCATTTTGTCATCGGAACCGTCACAGGCGTCCACCTAGTCAATACTCGGATATGGCATACCCATGCCACTGCCATCCATCCCCCAAAAACTCTCTCTTACTTACAAGAACACGCTACAGCGAAAATTGAAGAGACCAGCAGAAGCAAAAGCAGAAATCCCACCCACCTCGTCTATCACAAACTCCAGAGAACCAAAAAAAAGCCATCCAACTCCACAGATACTGCTGAAATGAAAGACATTCACCACCCAAACTTCTCAACCTGAACATCGACATCCCTCCCGCTCCATATCAACTCCGCACACGTATTCCGTACATCCCTGACCAACCCATCAGGTCCACTAACCACAACACCAGTCCTCGAATTCCCATGTTCATCCTCCTCTTCAACCCACTCCCTCACAATACCACCCGCATCCGGCCGCCCGGCAAGTGCCGTCGGCGGCGTGATGAGAACATCTAACCCCCAATCTTCTAGTTCTTTCAGTTTATCCTCTGGAATCCAGAGGCGGTGGTCAAGCGAATGCGTTATCCAGAGTAATTTTACTTTTCTCTTGGATCTGAGAGTGGATTCGGGGTCGGTGGGGGAGGGTTGCAAAAGGGCGTAGAGGAGGGGGTAGGCGACTGCTATGCCGGATCCGCCGGCGATGAGGATGGCTGTTGAGGAGGATTCTAGGAGGTCGAGGGCGTGGGATGAGCCGTAGGGGCCGTCGAGACGGATGCGGAGTTGTGTTGTTGGATTTGGCGAGGCGCGGGCGTGGCGGAGGAGGCTGTGTGTGAAACCTGGTTCTGACTGGGCGCGGATGAGGAGGGAGAACCAGGCGTGTTTTCCTTGGCCGTCTTGCGTTGATGTTGTTGGGGCGGCGGAGAAGATGGTGAATGGGTGGGATTGGATGCCGTGTTTGCGGGAGAGAGATGGCACGGAGATAAAGATGTGTTCGTTTGGTTTCCAGCCTTGTGTCATGTTCTTGGCTAGGACCGCAGATTCTTTCGTCTCAACTTCCCAGTTTGCGGAGAGCAAAAGGGTTTCGTCGTCTTCGAGGGTTTCTAGTGTTGCAGGGTGGGTGCTGGATTTCAACCACATACGGTAGACTAGTCGGTCGACGAGGAAGATGGCGAGGGAAATGCCAACGTACGGCCGTGAGGTGTGGTGATGGAACCATAGGAACACCAATCCAGCGACTTGAAGTACGATGTGCAGGGCTAGGAAGATCTCATACCACCTCTTCCGGAAGCTGCCCAGGCTGGTGAAGTAGATCAACTCATACGCGATGAGCGCGGCTAAACCCAACAGCACAACGCGGTTGAATATGAATCTCGCCAGCGTAAACCCCAGATGCCTCAACATGCCATACCACACAGCGACCATGCCGAGGAAATGCAAGAACGCTTCCAGACACACGAGCTCTCCTACCCTCCTATGGAAGATGTTCAGACTCTCATACGAGTATCCCGTCAACAACTTTATCGGTTGGTTCTTCGCAGCGAGGACGTATAGAAGGGGTAGATTCGTGATGAAAATGATTCCGCATCGATCGGCAAAGACGAAGAGGTACATGAACGAGAGCGGCATGCGGTAGAGATTGTAGAAGATGTTCAGGCCAACCCAGGCGAGGACGAGCAGCGAGACGGCGTTGGTAGGCAGTGTTTTGTTGACAAGAGGTATGGGTCGAGGTTGGTATTGCAGCACGGACTTGAGCAAGTAGTAAGGACGCCATACTACAGATCTCGTCACGCGCCGGGGTTGCTGCGAAGGAAGAAGAGGGCTCGTTTCATCGGCATCGTTTATTTTCTTCGCGGCGGTGGTATCGGGGGGCGTCGCATTCCCTTCAATAGTACTACTCGAGCTACTCCACGCCTCTGCCTCTTCT